CAGAATTTTTAAATGGAAGACAAAACAGGAAAAACACCTTTTCAGTACATGTCTATGTACATGTCACTATAGTGAAGTATATATAATTTGCATCAATATGAATACATGTATAGGAATAAAGAAATACTAATAGTGAATCTTTTTCAGGCGTACAGAAATTTCCATTTTCTCTCAACCTGAGTAATAGTCAAAAAATAACATTGCTGAATGATATTTTAAACACTTATAACATCACTCGGACTAGCTTTTATCCTTAGTTTATCTTCATGTTGCTGACAACAGTTTGCCTTTAAAAACCCAAGCTGCTAGGATATTACATAAAGAATAACAGCCAACTATTTATTATTAAAAAGAACTTAAGAACTCAAAGTGCAAACTAACAACTAAAAGAATAAAAGGAACATATAAAAATATATACCATAAAATAACGCTCATAGGGTCAATATGTCCCCCCGGTTACTGCCGGAACGTACCCTGGGTGCGGTCCGGATATCCGGCTCTGCGTTGCACGCGCAATACCTCAGTTGCGAGCCACGCGAAGGGGGGTCTGGGGGGCCCTCCCCCTTAAAAATTTCAAATTAGACCCCCTCAGATGCGTTTTCTGCGCGAGCAAGGGGGATCCGACTCCCTGGACCCCATATTCACGCCCCTGCTCGGGCGCGAAGCGACCAGGGCGAGAGAGCCAAGCGACCGAGCGGAGGGAGGTTATGGGAGGTGGGTGTTCCACTGTTCACCTCTCCCGCATGATGGAGATTTTGCAATTATTACACCTAATGTACGATCAAACTGAAAAACTTACTATTTTTTACGACTTGAAAATTAATGTGTTTTTTACATTGTGAGCCGAGACATATCTGGCGATTATTGGCGCAGCCATATTGGATCACGCGTTCACGTTGTTCTCGCGTGATCTAGAGTTAGTCCCATCATTCATTGCGCGCATAACATACACACAAAATGGCCGCCTGCTGCAAGAAAAGAAAATCCTTACTATTTTCATGAATCACAGGTTGGCAGGTCTGCTGTACATTATTACAATTTCTATCACAGTTTATGGTAATTTTTCAACTTTATGAATTATTGACTTTAGTTCTTGGATACCGGCTGACATTTTCCGGCTATGACTACCTGGCACTCAGAGCCCTGGCGTCCCGGAACATTGTAGATTCGGTTGGCAATCAGATTGGTGTTGGAAAGGAGTCTGATATCTACATTGTAGCAGATGAAGAAGGAAAGCAGCTAGCTATGAAAATACACAGGTATAATTGAGCCCATGCTTTTTATCAAGAGTACATGATAGGAGAAGAGTATGACACTGTTTTAACAGCGTTTTGCGTAGTGTTCAACTTGAATTTATTCTATCAGTGTGTGAATAAATATATTCAAACTTTACCTTCTTTTTGTCTCGGATTCTCCCTTAATCATATGACACCACCAGTTTACCTGAAAATCGTATGTGTTCTTCAAAAAAGTTATTTGAATACGACACGGTTTCACACAGTTTTCCCAAATGTTTGCATCTTATCGGCCAATGTTGATATGCGGCGGCAGCGCCAGTTTGTAACTAAGGGACGCTGGGGACTGTTGGGGATATTAGGTAAGCACAGTAACAGCACTTGTTTCGCTTCCTTATCATCAGGAACACGATGGTAACACAGCTAAAATCAGCTCCTATCTCGCCGTGAGCACACATTTATTTCTAGCACGCTGGAAACGCATTACACACTGAATACAATTTGATGCCTAATATCCCCAACAGACAATAGACCACTAATCCGATAACAAACATCGGCCGCTAAGATGCGAATGGTTGGGAAAACTATGTGAAACCGTGTCGTATTCAAAGATCTTTTTTGAAGAACACATACGATTTTCACGTAAATTGGTGGTGTCAAGATTAAACAAGGTATGTGAAAACAAGGTAAAGTTTGAATATATTTTTTCACATATTGATAGAATATTTTCAAGTTGAAAACTATGCAAAACGCTGTTACAACGGTGTCATACTCTTCTCCTATTATACATGTACTCTTGATTTTATGTAGCCAATCTATGTATGTTGAGTACATCTGCCCTTCATTATATGCACGTTTACAGTGTAGATACACAATGCTACACTTTCTACATACACCTTCTACAGTGATAAAAATACTGTCCACTCTGTCAAAAATGAGCCCAGTGTGATTATTGTGTGCATTATTCTTGGTAGACTTGGAAGAACATCATTTCGTAAGCTAAAGGAAAAGAGAGATTACTTGGAGCATCGTCAGAAAACTTCATGGCTCTATTTGTCTCGTCTTGCTGCTGTTAAGGAATTCTCCTACATGAAGGTATAAGCACTAGGTAGCTTTTATATAGATGTGGGATGATGTCTTTATGTACGGAGTTTATCCAGTAATGTACTGTTGTATCTCTCATAGTTTTGCCATTGGCATATAAGGTGCATGTATATTCTACCTAAAACATCATTCGCATACATCATCATACCAGCAGAATGGGTTCAAGTTTGTCTTATTGCTTGTTAGGGTTGACTTCATAATTGTGTGTTTTTCTCTTATTTTTAGGCACTGTACGATCGGGGTTTTCCTGTGCCAAAGCCTGTTGATTTTAATCGTCATTGTGTCATCATGGAGCTGTTGAGTGCATATCCTATGTAAGTTGTGGCCAAGATTTACTTACTGATACTATGCTGAGTGTACTTGTATGTTCTAATGGACAGTTATATATTCTTGTAGTTTTCTGAATAACTGGAGAAGTAGCTTTTTTTAAATATTAGTAATCAAGAATTTATTTTTTTTATTTGCTGATTTTTAGCTCATCTGACATAGTCAGATGCAGCTTGTAGAATCGCATGAGCGTGCGTCCGTCCGTGCGTGCGTGCGTGCGTCAACAGTTGGGCACAAATCTTAACCGCTTGACGTACGGTCACGATATTCGGGACGTTGGGGGGGATCGTCAAAACGAGTTGAGATGTCGAAGCTGGGGGCCAAAGGTCAAAGGTCAAGAGGTGTAAAAGAAGGGGGAACATTCCCTCATTAACTTAAGGTATAGGGAGGAAATGAGAATTGCGGCACAAATCTAAACGGCTTGACCTAAGCTCGTGATAGTTGGTGTATAGCATCATGGTAGGAAAAGCCATCACTGTGCCTAAATTGGAGGTCACAGATCAAATGTCAATGGGGCACAGGGCAGATTTTAAACCTTTTCTGAGGACATGGTCTGACGGAGCGATTGAAAAACTTTTTTGTTTCAGCGGTGACCTAACATTTTTAGCTCATTGGGGGACGCTTGTAGAATCGCATGATCGTCCGTGCGTCCTTGCGTCCGTCCGTCCGTCCGTCCGTCAACAGTTGGGCACAAATCTAAACGGCTCGACGTACGGATTCGAAAGTCGGGACGTGGGGGGGTAATCGAAAACGAGTTGGGATGTCGAAGCTGGGGGTCAAAGGTCAAAGGTCAGAGGTGTAAAAGAAGGGGGACATTCCTTCCTTAACACGTTCAACGCTGCTGTGTTAACAATGCACCTACCGCCCTGTGCTGAGATTTTCGCGTTTTTACCGCTTAGTCACCTATTACACAAAATGTTTTGGCAGGTTTAACTAGCTATAAAATTATTTATAATTAGTGGCTAGTATAATAATAGATATAAACTTACTCTCAGACATCAAAACAACACCGGAATCTATCACCCGTGATCTTCAAATCAAAACACAACTTTCAGACATAAAAACAACTTCACAACACACGGCGGTCAAAACGCCCTTTGGCGAGGTGAACTAAAACATTACCCAGTCCAAAAATCCCAAAATAACGTTCCAAACAACAGTAATGTATTGTATAAATATGTCATCTACTACTGGGGTTTATACAGTGACGCTATTGAATTGCTAAGCGTATAGCCCCTGCCATCTATAGGAGAACATAGTAAACGTTCCAATTAATTTTTTTTTTTTTTTGCCACGAGTATACTTGTGTTTCGCGGCGCGTGCGTTTTTGCAGGTTCAAAACGAGTATACTCGTGTTTCGCGTTGAACGTGTTAACTTAAGGTATAGGGAGGAAATGCAGAATTGCGGCACAAATCTAAACGGCTCGACCTAGGCTCGTGATAGTCGGTGTTAGCATCATTGTAGGAAAATCCATCACTGTGTGCGAAATTGAGGTCACAGGTCAAAGGTCAATGGGCACAGGCAGATTTTAGACATTTTCTGAGGACATGGTCTGACGGAGCGATTGAAAAAACTTTTTTGTTTCAGCGGTGACCTAGCATTTTTATGGCTTTATTAAAAGGACCATGAAATTATTTCTGCTGACATGCGAAGAGTAAGTGTCGGATAACTTTTTGACCCTCAGAGGAGGGTTAACATGGATTTGTTTACTGTCTGTTAGAAAGAATTTGACTGCCGGGTTTGCTAGTAGAATCTATACATCCTGGATGTATGAGGCTACAATGTCACAGTGAAATTTCAAAAGCAAAATTTTGGTTGGAGAAGGTTTATGCTCCTTAAATCATATAATTTCTATGGCATTCTGTACTGTCAGTGTGTTATATGTAACGTATGCCACTGCCAGTGGCCACTGCCAGTGCATGTGGTGGTGATATTACTGTGTAGTTTTGCCTGCGTTAATTAGTTACAGGTGGCAGCTCTCTATTTCAGCCTGTAGGCTTGCGTAGGTAAATGGGAGCTTCCATCTTTAATCTTAAGACACTTAAACGTACGCGCCATCTCGTGGCAACTTCCATAACGATCCCAACGAACATTCTTTGAGAAGGTTCCTGATACCATCTGTGCCTTTCCACTGTTTTGGCGTGTATGTGACACATTTGGGACTAACAGGTTTTACTAGAATCCCACCACTCCACCACAGAGTCACCGCAGTAGACGTTAGATGAGCGCTGTCGCTCCGCGGCACTTGTCCATTGTTAGCAGCAGTTGGCACAGTATGTGTTGATAAGGTGTCATTTACTCCACCTCATCTCATTAGGTTTGCTTTGTGTTCAACAGGTATCAAGTTCATGATGTGAAGGATGTAGAAAATACTTACAATGATCTGATGTCTCTGCTAGTAAAATTGGCCAACCACGGTGTCATTCATGGAGATTTCAATGAGTTTAACATTATGATGGACGAAGCAGGGACGTATCACAATGATTGACTTTCCGCAAATGGTTTCAACTTCACACGAAAATGCAGAGTGGTAAATACTGCAAAATATTTATCAGAATAAAAACACGAATCATTTTTTACACGTTGAGCATATAATGTCGTGTAATGGGTTTATGACTGCCACAGAACACGCTTGTAAGACATAAGAATGCAGTAACAAAGCTTTATATTTAATGACGATAAAAGCCATATATCGGATCTCCCGCGCGGGTGGTGTGCGTGCATCTGGCGTATCATATACATACTAAATATACTATGTCTGTGAAAATTGTAAAAATGAAGGAACACTATATATAAATTGTGTTATTTATTTAACCACAGTGAATATGCATCATACTTGATTTACCACTAATTTATTATATTTATTTATAGGTACTTTGATCGGGATGTCAACTGTATTCGAGCTTTCTTTAAGAAAAGATTTTCATATGAAAGTGAACTTTACCCAAAGTTCACAGAATATTGAGTAAGTTTTGACAAACAAGTTAATGATTGCACACATAAGTTTTATGTATGCTCTTTTATATGTAACTTATAACTTACTCAGTAAGCTTGTAATGTGTACTTATAACATGTAACTGCTACTGGTACTATTAACATATTAACTCATCATTTAATATGAGACATTTTTTGACATATTTCTAACAATTGTTTATTTCATTGTAATAATCAACACAGTGTTCTCCTTTTAACGCATGTACTTTGACATGTCTTCAAAGCTGAAGCTTATTTGTGAGATCCAATACATCCTTAATTGTCTAATCAACTAACTTAATTTCCAGCTGTGTTTACTTTAACGATCCAACACAGCCGGCTTGAGAAATACAAACTAATAGCCCCCTTGTGTTTCTGTATAATTATTATGAATTTTGATTGGTTATGATTCATAATAACCATGTTAAATCCGATTATATGACAACCAATAAGTACATGTTTTTTTGTAGAAGGGAAGGTGCTCTAGATGTTGAAGTTGCAGCTAGTGGGTTCACAAAGAAGTTGAGACATCGTTTAACGAGGTAATTGTAAAATACATTTTTATAGAAGAAGTAAGACTTAATTATATTTTCTTGATAAAATAATCAATTTGTACAAAAGTTGGTGAAAATATATTTCATAAATTTATTTGTTATTGTTTATATATCTCGTGTTCTTGAGACATTCGAATACAGATTCCAACGACTGTCTTGCTTGTTACATATTATATTGTTCAAATAAACTTAAATCACACAGACGCTGTATACAGGAGCGTGTAGAGGCTAATAGTCCGCGCATATATTCTCTCTTCTTCTCGACTAGGTGGCAACCTCTTGGGCGTAGAAAACATAACATAACTTAACGTTTTCCAGTTATCTTACATCTCCCTCCCTTACAAGATGTACTAGAATGCATAACTATAACGAGCAACATTGAACAGTATGTTACTAAACGAACATCAGTACACTCTGTTGAATTACGACCGCTATGGGAGGTCTTACACATAGTCACTAAATCGTACAGGTGTTTCCTGTTACGTCCAGACCTTCGAACTGGTTCAGGACAGTCTTCAGACGTGACATTCATTTTATTGTCACTGTTGTCATTCATGACAATAGGATCGTCATCTGCACAGTCAGTCAGGGTTTCGAGTGTTGATGGTACTTCAACGGCGACTGGATGGGTGGCAGTGCAGTTATTGTCTTCTCGTAGATCTCCGGCTCTGTAGCTTCCTGATATTCGTCTCTGGAGTGATTGGTGACCATTTCGACATTCCCTGCAGTTGGTACCGTGGTTGGAGGGAATCTACGTCGCAGCATAATACGATTTCTCACAGTCAGTAGGCCTGATGGAAGACGGATGACATACTTTCTATTCTTAAGGTTACGCTCTTGCACCACCCCGTATTTATCCCATCTTCTGTTACACCTGTTCTGTACTAAGACAGGATCACCTACACTCAGGACAGGCAGGGGTTTACCAGGGCGGTATTTCTCAGCTTTCTGGCGTTCACTGGATATCAACTTATCATAGTCAGCTAGTTGTTTATGCCAGTCTTTGCTCAGGGCACTCTTGTGTGCTGGAATTACTTCATTCACCAGGTGTCCATATAGGTGAACCGCAGGGGCTATCCCTGTACCCTTGTGGGGTGTATTCCTGATGGATAGTAGACCACGAGTCCACTTTTCAAAATCCACCTTACCATTCGTCACACAACTGCGTAGTAGGTGCTTTGCCTGTTTTACCGCATTTTCTGCGAACGCATTACTCTGCGGGTAATACGGTGATGAGGATATCCATCTCACTCCCCACCTCATACAGAAGTCCTGGAACACACTTGAGGGGAATGGTGGTCCATTATCAGTGTATAGCACTTCAGGCACTGCTGTGTCAGCGAATATCAGTCTTAGCTCGTGGATCGTGGAATTAGCATCTGTTGAGCGCATCTCACGAACTATGAACCAGCCAGATAGCCAGTCGGTGACTATTAGAAATGTGCGACCATCACAATCAGCAAAGTCAGCGCTTATGAATTGGAACGCTCGCTTTGGGATTGGTAGGTGCATCATCGGTTCCGTTGGCTGGCTAGGTAGGTCCTTCTCACACTGGTTACAAGACTGACAGAACTGTTCTATCATTGCATCAATGTGGGGCCAATATACTATGAGCCTTGCTCTAGCCTTTGTAGCTTCTATACCTCTATGACCAGCATGAAGGTCCACCAGTGTTTGTTTTCTGAGACTGGTAGGAATCAACAGTCTTACGCCATGCAGTATAAAACCATCATCTGACATCGACAGGTGTTCACGTACGTTCCAGTACTCACTGATCGAGGCATCCAGGTCTCGCTTCTGGTCAGGAAATCCATTAAGTATTGTTTCCTTCAGTGTTTGGTACTCATTATCACGATCAGAGGCTTCTCTGATCGACTGGAGGTGAATAGGAACATCTGCTTTCTCCATGCAGGCTGTGCGGATTGCTCGTACGGTACGGAGTGTCTCTCGCTCCTCCTCCAGGTCTGTTTCGTCTGGCTCTTTCGTCGGGTACCGAGAAAATGCATCGGCCATCAAGTTGGTTTTACCTCTGATGTATTCGACTTCCATGTCAAATTCATGTGCTTGCATTAGGCAACGTCGAAGCCTCAGGTTGGTGACTTTGTCTAGTCGTCGATTGTTCGTCATCGATACAAGGGGTTGGTGATCCGTGTACACTTTGAACCTAGGTAATCCAACAAGGAACTTAGACGCCTTTACGTATTGGCATGTACGTCTTCTCGAGTTCAGTTAGTGTACGGCTGCCCACCATGATTGGTTTCCATTCCTGGTTTCGTTGCTTCTGTTTCAGGACAAACCCAAAATCAGACCTGCACGCTGCATCGGTGTATAACTCGACGGGCTGACCAGGCAAGTAGTATGCAAGCCTACCAGGTTGTACTAGCATTTCTTTGACTTCGCGGAAAGCCTGCTTTTCATCCTCTGACATCTCAAACTTTTTGTCAGATTTTTTTAGTAGGTGTCGCAGGGGGGCCAGTTTGCCTGCCAATTCTGGATCGTATGGCGACATTTGGTTGGCTAAACCATGAAAGGATCGCATGTCTGTTATGCTTCTAGGCTCAGGAAATTCTCTGAGTGACTCTATCAGCGACGGGCTGATGGTAAATCCATCCTTACTCACGATCACACCCGCAAACTCTATCTCTTGCTTCCTGAATACAAATTTCTTTTCGTTCAGTCTAATGTTCCTCTCACGACATCGCTCCAGGAACGCTCGGACATGCATCAGGTGGTCTTCATCATTCTTCCCATACACGAGGGAATCATCTACCACTCTTACGATGTTGTCTAGGCCATGAAGGGATTCTGACATGCGGCGGTTGTAGTGCTCTGAAATACTGTTTATTCCGAACGGCGCCCTCTCATACCTAAAACGTCCAAACGGCGTTATGAACGTAGTCAAGTCTTTCGATTCCTCTGCTATTTCGAGTTGGTGGTACCCTTTCTGGGCATCAAATTTCGTGAACAGAGATGCTTCGTTGGCTTGAATGTTCTGAACTGTCTCCAGGACAGATGGTGACTCGTAGATCTCGCGCTTTGAGAACTTATTCAGTGGCTTGAAGTTTACACATAGGCGGATGTCGTCCGAGTTCTTCTTTTGCTCCACCACTATAGGAAGCACCCAGTCTGTTGCTTTAGTCTGAGGTGTTATAATCCTAGCCTTCTGGAGGTGTTCTAGTTCTTTCTCTAATTTAGGCATCAGTGGGTATGACACACCATAGGATCTGGTGGCTTTGAACGCCACCGCTTTTTCTTCCAGAACAATCTTGAATTTTTCCCCCTTCACAGGGTTTTCTAAGGGACCAAAGACATCAGCAAACTTATCGATCAAGTCCTGTCGAGTTACCTGGCTTGCTGGTTTCTGGACCTGGCATGTGTCTGACCTAGCCTTCAGGAGATGCTTCGGCTTAACCGGTATCGGTGGTTTGTTAGACTTACTGACTGTGGATATCATAGCCTGTTCAGGCACCTGGACATTGTCAGGTTTCCGAGTTGTCTCCGTAGGTGGGTCTAGATTGAGCCTGACTATGTTTAGCTCGATTAGGGCATCCTTAGATAGGATTGTGCCACTAAGTCCCGGGAAGACAACAATACGTCGGGTGA